AAAAAAAAAAAAAAAAAACAAGAAAAAGTAAAATAAACTCGTTAATGATTTTTTAAGTAACAACAAATCCCTTTTCCAAATTAGTTAATCCTATATAATTGAAGCCTTTTTTTTCAATGCTCTAATTTCTTCCGTTGATGCAAACCTATGCCGCAGAGCATAGAGGTGGTTCTTTATTATTGATCGACCAATAGATTAACTCGCGAGTCAGCTTTAACAAAAATCTGTGCCAATCCTTTTTATTCCCTTGCGAAAAAAAAGCTAATAATAAAAAGAACAAGAAACAAGGAAAAAGGAAAAAAAAAAAAAAGATACGAAAGTACAAACTCATACTCGTCGTATTCGTATTCGTAGTCGTCGTTGTTGTCTTCTTGGTCGCGTCATCTTCATTTCCCAATACCTGTCGTCAAAGAGTAAAGAAAAGGTGAAGAAAAAGAAGAAGAAAGAAGGATAATAAAAAGAAAAAAGAATAAGGGAGGACGGGGGAGGTGGTGATGGCAAAGAAAAGAAAAAAACCACGACGACTACGATGACGACGAGTCGAGATCGGTTCAGATGGTTTTTGTTGAGAACAAGAGTTACGCCCGTAGAATGTTTATCCGCGTAGGAAAAGGTTCGCATATATATATATATATACGTGCAACTGGACTCAAGACTCAAGACTTGGGTTGGTTTAGCTCAGCTCAGCTAAGATGCACCTAGTCCTTTGATTCTAGCCGCCAATAATACGAAGTGTGACCAGTACAAGCTTTATCGTTCGATCGACGACGATTCGTCTTGCGACATCTCAGCGCACTTCTCAACGGCAACGACGAATACAAACACCAAGAGAAAGAAAGAGAAGAAGTCGGTTTGGGGGGAGGGGGAGAGATAAAAAGGGTGAAAGAGAGAAGAGAGGAGAAGAGAAGAGAAGAGAAGAGGTTCGTTCGTTCGCTCGAATGAACGAACGAACGAACGGGTGAACGAGGAAGAGCTTATTGATTTTGTATGAGAGAATAAACGAACGAGAGAGAGAGAGAAGGAGAAAGGGGGAGGAGAGTACCAAGAGAAAGAGAGAGAGAGAGGAAACATTCGCGTTTCAATCCCCACCTCTATTTCTTTCTTCCTTTATCTTTCTATCGATGATCCTCGGGAAAAATCAAACGCTTTGTCGTACCTCCACGATGATTAACCTCCCACGATTCTTTTGGCTTTCTCGGAGATGACAAGTTTCCGTTTTCCGATGAGAACTTCACGACGACTACGACTACAACGACGACGACAACTATTCAACTTGTTTTTACGTAAATCTCGCCGCAAAAGACGACAAGTAATAGTAGGTAGTAACCGTTGTTGATTTCTTGATTCTAATCTAAATCACAGTTCGATTAAAATAAAAAAAAACTGTCTAATGACAATGTCAGCCAGTCGTCGTCGTCGTCGGTTTCTTTTCTTAATTTCTTCACATAGTTTCTCTATTTATCCGATACTTTATTCGTAAATAGGTGTTTTATCCTTTCGAATAGAGGTGCGACATGAAGATGCCGAATTTAGGATCGTAATCTAAAGCTACTGGATGATAATTCTCAAACGGATGCGGTTAGAAGAAGAAGAAGAAGATTCGATGAAAATCATTGGACGGGGAAGGGGGCAGAAGTGAGGAAAGAAAAAAAGTTTGTCGCAAGAACGAACGAACGAACGAACCGAGATACGTAGACGCATATCCGCATTAATCTGAACTCGCGAGTTCGCAACAAGCGGCATCCCTTTGACTACCGTTGTCGTCCTCGTCCTCGTCCTCGTAGTAGTAGTAGTAGTAGTCAGTAGTAGTAGTAGTAGTAGTACAGAAGGACCCTGAAGAAGCCGCGATAAAGCGCATTAATTTATCGCGACCCACCAGAGATCTTTTTCAAGGCGCATCGATCCGAGCAACAAGATTAGAAGCGCGAGCACGATGCTCCGGCACATCTCTAACGCACATTCTTACATCCCTCGAAGTCTCCCTATTACTAACAACTACTACTACTACTACTACTACTACTACTATTACATCATTCTTCATGAGAAATCATCTTCAATAGTAGATATAATATTTGAAATCCCTCTTTATTATAATCCAATTCTTAATCCTAAATTCTCCCTTTTTACTTATCAGACCTATCCAGAGTTTTTCGCTATTGTCTCGTTTAGAATCGATTGGAAAATTTGAAACGTACGGCTGACTGATTATTAACTAACTGATTGTTCACTGACTGACTGACTGACGACTGGCTGCCACGAGATTATCCAAAAGAAGTAGAATAAGAATAAGAAGAAGAAGAAGAAATGAGACGAATTTCAATAGAATGAAACGAATCCACATTTTTTCCATATAAAATAAAATAATAATAATAATAATAAAGTTAACGATGCGCAGACACGGGGAGGGAGGGAGGGAAGGAGGAACGAGGGGGGTACGCGCGAGAAGACGACTATGCGCTGAAAACGAAATCAATGTGAGCTAACAAGCTTGCGAGTTAGCAGTTAGTTAATTAAGTCGGCGTTATTGGATCATGGAAGCCAAGCGCCCCCCCCCTCCTCTCACCCTTCATTCCTTCCTTCCTCGCGAGAAAGAAGGAGCCTCAGTCTTTTCCCCCTTTGCACTACAGTGTGCTACTGCTACTGCTGCTGCTGTTGGTGGTGGCTTGCTCGTCTGTGCAGTGTTTGGGGACGCTGTTTATGGTGGTGGTGTTGCTGTTGCCTGCCTGCCTGCCTGCCTGTTACTACTACTGCTGTTTGGGGTGTTGTTGTTGGTTTGAGGAGCTTGTTGGTGGTACGTTCTCTTTATAGGAAACTCTCCTCCTACATGTTAACTCTTAGTTAGTTAAACATTACAACCAATAGAAAGCTCGTCGTACTAGTCAAGATCTAGTCTACGAACATCATTCATTGCTAGACCGGACGCCTTAGGGCTTACGCGACTGACTTGGTTGGTTGCTTGCTTGCTAGCTTCCTTCCTTGTGCAACTTGCTTACGCGACTTGCCAGACGTCTTAATTAAAAGTGAGTTGCCCGGAGTCAGTTAAGAGACCACTCTCGTTTCCCCCTCTTACCGCTTTTATCCACTACCACCATCACCACCACCACCCCCTCAGCCCCCCTCGCTTCCTGCAATTGCATTCTCAAATCTTGAGAAACACATTTCACATATTATTTTTCATACAATTTACTTATTGCATACATATTTTTTTCATATCATTGAGATAATGTCAAACACATTTCGAAGTATCAACTACCCTTTAACCGAATCTTCCTCGTGTCAAATATACGAAAGAAAGAAAAAAAGAAGAAGAAGAAGAAGAAGGTGAAGAAGAAGAAGAAATACGACGATCGAGTTGTGGTCTTCTCTCTTTTTCTCTCTCTTTCTCTCTCTCTCTCTCTTTTCTCTTCTTTACGTGTTTCACGGTACTCGTGTCTTCGAGGTGCCGGAACACGTGTTCCACGATATTTTGCGAGGACGCGTAGAAAAAGAGACGTGCGACGACGAGTGGTGAATCGAACGAAAAGGAAAACGACGACGACGAATCTTTGAAATATATAAAGAAAGAAAGAAAGAAAGAAATAAAGAAAAAGAGAAAGATAGGAGGACCTTATGTACGTACGTACGTACGTACGAACGAACGCGCGACCGTTTCCCTCGACGCTCGTGAACAAGTGGATAACAAAAACTACCAAACGACTAAGTTCCTCCTCTTTCGGGCCAGGTCGTATTTCTTCAATCGTTTCGCCCTTTCCCCCTTCCCCCTTCGCGACCCACTCGGTGAAATCCGTGATTCGCGTGAAAATTTTTCATCTAAAAAAGGAACTTAATATGAAAGAAAGAAAGAAAGAAAGAAAGAAAAAGAGGTTGGTTGTATTCGTCTACGATAAAACAAAGTTAGGAAGAAAGAAAGAAATAAAGAAAGGAAAAAGAAAGAGAGAGAGAGAGAGAGAGAGAAAGAGAAAATAAAAGATTAAAAAGTAAAGAAAGATCGATCGTAAAGAGAAGTTAAATGTTGCATGAGCTTCGAGGAAGAAGAAACCGAGCTGAGATTCTCGGTAGCGATTAAGCCCTCCGACGGAAATAACGTACGATCGAGGAACCTCGGTACGGATTTTTCGATCTGCAAACACAAAGATAAAGTAAGAGAGAGGAAGAGAAAGCAACCAGGTAAAGCGCGACACCTTCGCGTCCTGTGGAATTCCGTGGCGAATGCGAATGCGTTATCTGCCGAAAGGATCGATCTCCGGGCGTCTGTAAAAGGCTGACAAAGTAAAGACAAGAAGATGGACAAGGTGGTGCTGGTGATGATGGTGATGGTGGTGATGGTGGTGTGATGATGATGGTGGTTGTAGTGGTGATAGTGGTGATGGTGGCGACAAGAAACCTTCGATTCTCCTCCTCGTCACCGGCTAAGGACGTCTTGAAACTTTTATTTTTCCTCCACCACCCACCCCCTCCCCTCGCAACTTCGATCGCATTAAAACACACCCCTACCGTACACCTTTACTGTCGCGCGTGCTCAAATTTTCAATCCGTTCATCTAACTTCGAAATATTTCTTTATATCTATTGCTCCAAATCTCGTATCGATGGAAATTACAAAGGAGTGGGGTGTGGGGCAGCAAGGGGAGGAAGGAAAGTTAAACGAAAAGTCTCGTTAAGTTGGCAAGAATCGAAAAATAAAGGGATGATAGATATCTCCTTTGTCCACGCGCATCGGTTTATAAAAAGAAATAAAAATAGTCGAATCCTTTTGGGAAGTTGAAAGAATTGCTGGAACTGGGCCGAAAACGATTGACCCCCTTCCCCCCGACCCCCTTCTGTTTTATTCGTTGAACCTTCCTGGCACTGGTCTTCGCTTCTTCCGAAGGATTTCGCGGGACTAACAACATTCCTTCTGCTTCACGAGATATCGACTTTTCCCACAGTCGTTATAAGGAAATTAAACCCTACTCGAATACGAACCACCATCGTCCCATATTCTACGATTTTATCTCTACGTATAAATTCAATATAATATAATAAATCTAAATAAAAATTCTCTCGTGAAGAGAGAAAAGTAAATAATTAATATGTTGAAAATATGTGTGTTATTATTAAATTAATGAATTTCTCACGAATTCGCGTGTCTTCCGATTCGTACCATTTAGAAAGAGATAAAGCAAAGTATTCCTACGATTATCGTAAATTTGAAGGCGAACAAAAATATAAAATATATAATAAATCTAAATAAATTCTCTCCTAAAGAGATATAAAAGTAATTAAATTAATATGTTGAGGCATGTGTATTACTAATAAAGTTAGTTTATCGCGAATTCGCGTAAATCTTGACCGATCGTGTCTTTCCGTTCGCACCGTTAAAGAAAAAGAAAGAAAAAAAGAAAGAGAGAGAATGAAAGCAAAGGAGGAGGAGGAGGAGGAGGAGGAGGTTGCATCGAAGTTGGAAAAAAAAAAGAAGCGAGAAAAGGGGGGTTGATGGTGGGTAGGTAGAGAATTCAGGATCGTTAGCCAATTCATTTATTCGCGGTGGCTCCGACGCTCGTCCAGCATAATCCGTCGATTTGTCGGCGCGGCGTGTCCCGTGTAATGCCGCTTCTTGTCGCTTGTAATCGAACAGAGACAGAGACATAGAGAAAGAAAGAGAAAGAAAGAGAAAGAAAACGAAGGATAAAACACGAGCGAGAGGTTAAGGCGAACAGAAAATACGCGTCGCGGTGACTATATGTGAACGACCGTAAGAAAAGCAAAGCACGCTCGTTGTTGATCGACCGACCAACTCTTTCTCTCTCTCTCTCTCTCTCTCTCTCTCTTTCTCTCACACAACACACAACCACACACACACAGACATTAGCTTTTACTAGTCGCTTTGTCCAGAGAGTCGCGAGTTTATTGGTACGACAGGGCGCTAAATTATTGATGCTCGACTGCACGCCATATCGAAAAAACAAGATGAAGAAGAACAAGAAGGAGGTGAAGCAAAAGGAGTAGGAGGAGGATGAGAAAGAGAGAGAGAGAAGGTGGAGTCGAGGGAGGAAAGGACGACTCGGCCGGCCCGTGATTTCAGAAAAAACTTTTTCGTGCTACTCGCCTCGACTTGTCCTCCTCCTCCTCAACCTCCACCTCCACCTCCACCTTCCATTATTTCTTTCTTCTCGTTCTCGTCTCTCATTTCCATCCTCATCCGAGTTTTCTCCTTGTCCCCAGCCCCCTTACCACCCCCCTGTCTCTCACTCTGTCGCGCGCTAACGCATCATCCAAGAGGGGGAACGCAGCAGAACTCGCGCTCTCTTTAAAAGGGTAAGAAGAAGGTTGGAACAGAGAGAAAGAGAGAGAGAAGGCCGTCCAAGCTACGCTTTGTGGGAAAGATTTCGCGCGCGAAACTAATGAGAGCAAAGAAAGAGAGAGATAGGAAGCTTTTTTTTAAATGGATCAACGAGAACAGAAGAGAGAAAAAGAGAGAGAGAGAGAAGTCTTCGTGTTACTTCATTATTCCCTTCGACTCGTAGAGAAACGATCGATCTTCCCAACAAGACCAACAATTTTTACTCGAATTCTCGTTTTCTCTTAACAAAGAGACCTTTTCTTTCTCTTTCCCGCTACCCTTTGAAAGAAAGACATTGGCGAAATATACTCGCGACTTGGAAAAACTGGACTCCCGAGACTTTGAACGATGATCCGATTAAAGAGAGAAAGTGTGAGAGAAAAGGAGAGAGAAAGAGAGAGAGAGAAAGAAAGCTTTTCGTGCCGGTGAAGCTTATCAACTGCGTGGTAAAGAATGGATGAAGGAAGGAACGTCGCAAGAAACGAGATTAAAACAGTCTCCCCGTAATAGTTCGAACGATAAACGATAAAATAATATAATCAATAAGAAGAAGAAGAAGAAGAAGAAGAAGAAAAAAGAAATAGAAGAAGAAAGTGATCGTGTAAAGTATAGATAAAATAAATGAAAATGATTTGTTGTGAAATGATAAAGAAATATCGTATTACGTAAAGGTAATATCCAACTATCGTTACTTCTATGTATAATAAAAAAGAAAAAAAAGCGCATATAAGAGAGAGAGAGAGAGAAAGAGAGAGTTGTATCGATGAGCATGTGGATCCGCATACACGTTAAATAATCTTACGTAATCCTCGAGATCCGATAAATGGGATATGTACCCACCACCTACGATGTTTCCGTAGCCCCACAAGTACCCCGCATGACCATGGGTCGTTGTAGACCTCCGTTCGTTCGCTGAAGTATCTATACTAACCGATATAGAACGTTGAATTATTTTACCTTATTCAATAGAGTCGACCGATTACAAATTAACATTGAAATAATAAACGTTAATTTTCAATAGATTTTCAATTACGATTGATAATTAATTAAATAATCGCGTAGTAAATGTTTATCCCGTAATTTGAATTTAGAAAGAAAAATTAAGAAAAAATAAAGATATGTTTATAATCTGTATTTCGTGGATATATATACCTACTACTACTACTACTACTACTACACAGATCGGTTTTTCGAATTCATTTCGTATCGTTGAAATCGTGTAAGTTTTCGGGAGGAAGGCAAGCTGCTAATTAGCGATTACCTCTCGTTAACGCGGTACTCTCGAGAATGAATATAATTAGCACTCGGCTTTGTGATGGAAGCGCAGCAAAAGCTTCTTCTTCGTTGTCGTCGTTGTTGTCGTCGTCGTCGTCGTCGTCGTCATAGTCATAGTCATAGTCGTCGGTGACGGTGGCGACGACAAAGTCACTTAAAAATATTCCAAGTACGTTCGAAGAGTCATCCTCTCCGAGGGCGGCCGATGCGACACGGTCCTCTCTACGCATCGACGAATCATCGAGTGCCGTAGTACGTGCACCACTCTGAAAACCGCTTCGTCGTCGACTACTTCGAGTAATCGCGAAACCTTTCTTCTCTCTTTGCCAATGTTTTACATATTTTTTTCCCCGGATACCAATGAATTAGTATTTCGATACCATTTGGCCATCCCCCTCCCCCTCCCCCTTCCTCCACCCCGTTCAACCGAGCCCTACTCTACATTTCCATTTAATTTCATATTTATTCATTATTATTCATTCATTTTCTAATCGGTTGATAGAGAAACGAAGAAATTACTTAAATGGACGATTACGATTACGACAGAAGAGGAAGATCTGCTGGTGGTGGTGATGGTGGCGGTGGTGGTGGTGCTGGTGGAAGACGCGCCGGCAAATACCGTGACCCCAATGACAATTACGATGACGATGATTTTGATATACGAGAAAAAAGTGCACCCGGTGGTGGTGGTGGTGGTGGTGGTGGTGGCCAGGGTACCCTTCAACGATTGGACAGCATACAAGATCCGGAAAAAAGATATGTTCTCAAGGATGTTATTGGTTCCGGGGTTTGCGGTGACGTTTACGAAGCGATCGATCAACAAGCTGGTAAAATGAACACGTTCTTTCGTTCATTCTCTTTTTTTTTTTTCCTGTTAATCATCACAATTTTTTGTATTAATAATCATAATTATGAATTTGGATTACAGGCAACAAAAAGGTTGCGATTAAAATACAAAAGCTTACACCGGAAACACAGGCCTTGATCGTTGAGGAGTACAGAGTTTTGCGAGATTTTGCTGGACATTCAAACCTTCCTGACTTCTATGGGATTTATCGTAGAAGATCTGGAAAGAAAACGGAATACGATCAGATATGGTTCGTCATGGAGGTGAATCATTAATTCTTCTTTTTTATTTCATCTTCGTATACAATTTGCATCCTCGTTAAAACCCATTTGCATGGTAGCTTCGAATAAACGACTAATTTCATTAATTAAAAACACTCGACTGACAATCGAGCCGTATCATATACAAACGCATTTTATCTTAACTCGTATTATTCACATTTATTTTGAACTTTTCGTTTTTAAATTAGAAATACCAACCAACCGTTACTGACAATCAGAAACGTTTGAACAGTAATTAAACCGATCAAATTGTTCCGATTATTACATTTTATTTTTACGAAACGCTTTTGAACAACACTTTCAAAAACAAATTATTTCGATAGTTTTCTTTTTTTCAAACAAACTGGCAAAATGTAGACCATTCTTTCGGACGCCCATTCGTCGTTAGCCTAACATGATTTATATTTTGATTAGAAAATTTACTTAAGATAATAGATTTATCGTAGTTCAAAACTAACAACAACTTTGATTGAACTTGTCAACCTAGCCAAACGTATCACGTTACTAAAGACCTAGAAGAAAACGTTTAACAAATGCGAATGCATTCGAAATTTAAATTCTAACGTGTTCGACGTTATTAAACCATCGATGATTTTTTCGCGAAGAAAATTTGAAACGCGTTTCTCTCTTTTCCTGTAGCGTAATAATTTTCTTTCTCTTCATTTCACCCTCTCTAAGAAGAGAAGGGGATCTTGCAAAGAGAGAGAGGGATGACAAGGGGGGACAAGGGGGCTGGAAGGGGAGGAAGGGGGACAAGGGGGAGGGGTGGAGGGTCGAGAGGTGAGGAAGAAAAGAAAGAAACGAGGCCAGAAGCGAGGGCCTCGGCGAGTATATACCCGTGCCTCGAGAGCAGAAGGCAATTTCAAGCATTTGAGACGGTCGAATACACGGATTATTTACGACACGCGTGGCCATTAAACAATCATTAAACTCGTTTGTGTGCGCAGGTGAGGCCTGGCATGTCGCTGCCCTAATTTACGGGCGGACCTCCACGGTGAAAACAAAAATATGATTACTTATCCTCGGATAAAGCGACGATGCTCGTCGGGTCAGTTAAGAAAGAAAGCGGCTGGGCTTTCTTGATCGATCGACGATATCCAAAAACGAAAACATTTTACTTCCCCCCATTTTACCACGATGATAATGATAATGATAATGATGATGATGATCATCATCATCATCATTTACTTCTTCATCTTCTTTTTCTTTCTAGTTTAGATACGTAAACGAAAGATATAAACATTCGAGTGATAGAATAAAGAAGAAGAAGAAGAAGAAAAAAAAGAAAAGGAAAATCCTGTGGCAATAGGAAGAGTAAAAGAAAAGAAAAGAAAAGAAAAAAAAAAAAATAGAAAGATGATTAAGGGTTGAAAGTAATAGGGGAGGAATGAGAAAGGTAGAGAAAAAAAAAAAAAAGGGAGATGATGCAGTTTACGCGCTCAACAGGATTTATCGCCGGTTGTATATCATATCGTACGCAAAGTCTTTACGAAGTTACGCGTGCATGCACGAACGACTACGACGAACACTGGTTGAATCGTTTCAACGTTTCTCTACGTAGAAAAAAAAAAGAGAAAAGGGCTACGAAAATTTTCCGTTTAATCGTCGACACTCTCTTTCTCTCTCTCGTTCGATTAAGAAACAAGAATTATTTTCTTACGGACTGTTTTTCAAAATTTTATTACAAAAAATCGTTGTATAGTGTATCCTTTTTTTTTTGTTTTTTATTTTATTTAATTTAACATCAGTTAAAAACGTAAGAACGAGAACGAAATGAGATAGAAGTTTGAGGTGGAGAACGATTAACGCGCTATAAAAAGAAGAAGAAAAAAATAAAAGAAAAAAAAAAAGAACACGTTAATTCTCGTGGATAGTCTCAGCTTGTCCAAATTACTTCCGCAATTACGTAGGTATTTCAATCACGGTTACACGGGACCTTGGACTCTCGAATAGAGAGACACGATCTAAATGAATTACGAATTGAATTTTGCTTTTGTAATTTCTTTAAATGCCGTTAGATTAAAAATTACGTATATACGTATTACGTGGATGAACGTGTATATGGTATGCGTGGTAAATGTGGGTGTACGTAGTAGACACGTGTGTACGTAATCGGTGTACGTGTCTCGATTCTAAACGTTACTTCACAATTTTGCATTTATTTCTTCATACCTTGTCTACCTTTCCATTTTTTTCTTGTTCTTTTTTTTTTAGCTTTGCGAAGGTGGATCAGTAATGGACTTGGTGAGAGGTCTCATCGCTTCGAACAAAAAAATGCGCGAGGAACACATCGCTTATATCCTTAAAGAGGTAATCAAGGTAAGCCGAACAAAGTGAAACGATATTATCTGTAAATAGAGAGAGAGAGAGAGAGAGAGAGAGAGAGAGAGAGAGAGAGAGAGAGAGAGAGAGAAAGAGAGAAAATGAACGATAGACTTAAAGTTCTTCAGCAAACTGATTATTGTGAGACAACTTCGCGAAAGATATAAAGTCGATCGGCTAAAGTCTACTACCTTGGAGCATAAATCGCAAATAAGACAGCCGAGATAGCTCGCTAATTAAGCACCTCGCGAACCAAAGGCTCCCTACCTTCTTTCTTTCTTTCTTTTATCCGCTCGTGTATTCTTCTTCTTTCTATACCTGAATCGCGAAATAAAAAGAAACTTGAATTCTCTCTCGGAATCTCTTACGATCGGTAAACGACGTAAACAGAAAACCCTTCCTGACTTCTCTTACTTTCCATCTTTACGTACACTTCTTTCTACAAAAGAATAAAATAAAATAAAAACGTTTCTTTTTTTGTTCATTACTTCGAGATCACTAACACTGTGCGGCAACACTTGCGAAGATTTTTAATTAACACGTCGTGTAAGAAAATACACAAAAAAAAAAAGAAACAATTAATTATAATACAGATCAATTATTATTTCTATTATAGAGAAATATAATTGCAATGATATAAATATAATAAATATTATGGTTGCTTTCATTCATAAATAAAAATTGAAGGGAAGAAAAATTACTGGAAATTTGATTCGAAAAAGATCGAAACAAAAATAATATCATGAATCGAATAAATAAGGAATAGAAAAGTAAGTATTGAGTATTGAAATACAAGGATTAAGATCTAAGGAACATTCGAAACTATCATTTAACGTAACAACCGAATAGAAACCAAGAGATCCGAGGGCAAGGATTTACAATGACACGATCTTATGACGTATAATTAACAACTGAGGTAGATCGTTTAAGGTTCATACGTACGTACAAACGGCCCTTTAAAGTCATACTTTGCGCAGGAAACGTATATGAAAAAGAGAGAAAAGAAAAAGTAACAAAATAAAAGTAACGATAAAAATGACGAATAAGCTTGGAAAAACGTAAGGTCGCAGGATACACGGACGAGTGGCACGCCACATTTAAACGCCTATTTCCGTTTGGAATCGTTTTACGCTCAATGTGTGGTCCTTGTCTTACCTCTCCAATCGTTTCCTACTTTTTTTTTTTTTTTTTTTAACTAACGCGAACGGTATACTAATTGTAAGAATTTATTTTTATTTAGTATAACTAACTCGCAATATATTACTCGCGTACGTTAAACGTCCAAACGTTTTTCCGTCAAACTCGGAAGCGCAACGGATGCGGTATTTGGGAGGTCTTTCTCTCTCTTTCTCTCTCTTTAGTTTCCATCTCGCGAATATTTCTTGGCACGGTAGCGATTCGAGCACGCTCGTCGCTCGTACGGTAAATCAGACCACGCTGACGTTTAATACCGGCAAATTACACGTGAAACAAATGGCCGCGAAAAAGCTTAACCCTTTTACTCCTCGATTCCTCTATGAAAACGCGAAAGAAATTTTTTACATTTACATTCTCTGTCCATCGCGTAAAAGAACGATTTCCCCCCCTCTTATCCTCTCCACCAAAGTACGACGCGACGTAACGTTATAAAACATGTTTTATTTATTACACGTATCATCTTTCGAACGTTGTTATTACCTCGTTATTATTTGAAAAATAATCTTATCGTATTTTTCTAATCGATCATTGTATAGTTTTGTTTCTTATATAAAATATACATAATATATAGAAATAAAAATCTATATAAATAATAATAATAATAATAATAATAATGCTTGCAAGAAAAAAGAAAATGATTAACCGAACACATAATTAGATGATTTTCCTTGAAACTAATACGAAATCAAACCGATGGAGTCTAGTATTAATGATTTCATGCGCATGCCAACTTCACAATCCTCTCTCTCTCTCTCTCTCTCTCTCTCTTTCTCTCTTATTTTAACTGGCATCGCTTGTTACGCAGCCAGAGAGACGGCAGGCCGCAAATTATAGATCGTTCAATTTGCAGTAAATCTATAAAGAGGATTCTCGAGAGGCGCCAAAGATACCGCGTACATTCTCTTCCCCAACCCCCGAACCCACCCCCTTCATCCTACTCCTTTTTCTTCTTCTTATTCTTATTCTTATTCGTTATCCTACCTAATTACTATTAATCAATTTTTCAGGCATTGATACACCTACACGAAAACAATATTATTCATCGTGACGTACGTGGCAGCAACATATTATTGACGAAAGAGGGCGAAATAAGGCTAATTGATTTTGGATTATCGAAAATGATTAAAGGAGAATTAGGTAAAAGAAATACTTGCATTGGTTCGCCGAATTGGATGGCACCGGAAATGGTTACCAGTAAGGCTGCTGGTTCTGATAGCGGATACGGAAGTCGTGCCGATGTTTGGGCTGTTGGTATAACTGCAATCGAATTGGCTGATGGTAAACCACCCTTTCAAGATATGCATCCCACTCGTGCATTATTCCAAATTGTTCGTAATCCACCGCCGACTCTCTACAGACAATCCAATTGGACGCAAAATTTCAACGATTTTATTTCAGAGTATGTTGAGATTATTTTTCTTTTTCTTTTTACTATTAATAATTATATTAATCGTTAAATAGAATAATATGATTGATATTTGATTAATTTTGTATAAATATCTTCTTGCAACAAAAATTACCCCGAGATTTTAAATGAATTAAAAATATGATATAAACTACGCAAACGATTTAATATAATATGTTCATTTAAATCTGTTTTTTACTTGTATAGGATGTATTATACATATTCGAATTTACGGAATTGATTTTATGTTTAAAAAAAAAGAAATCTGAAGAAAAACGTAGAAACAATCGTTCGATAAAATTATGCGTTAAAAATGCATCGGAATATAGGAGTTAATTCAATTATTAATAAGTTTAAATGTGTGTGTAATAATTAAATTAAAAATATTTTAATTACCTTAACTGAGAATCGATTTGAAAAAAAGGTGTTTACTATTCTCAGCTTCGTCGCAGTACACGTCTTCGCAGTTTGTCTGTCGGAAACAGACTGAAAGCAGAGTAAATAGGTCAACTATTTAAAAACAAATTATAAACATCACAGGGGACAATATATACTAACGTATAAACAAACTAATGCATTAGCCGTTCGAATAATATTGTAACGAGTGCATGCTCCTAAGAATTTGTAAACAAGATTTTGTATACACATTGAACACTTGAGCTGAAGTTGCTCGTCTTACGAAGAAACAAATATCGATTGTTCAATTTATTTTTACAGAGTGATCGTTGAATCCGATTTTTCCGGAACGTTATCATTATGTTTTTTTTTTCTTTTGTTTCTCTCTATAGAAATTATACAAATGGAGAGAAATAATTAACAATGACAAGTAATTAAAAATTTATCCAAAATTATATATTATATTTTCGCAGATGTTTAGAAAAAAATCCTGACAACAGACCGTTCATGGCGGAGATCATCGAACATCCATTTTTAGCGGAATTACCGGAAAACGATTATTTGGTAGTTTCTTTTTTTATTTGCCATAAAAATTTGCAAACAATTAAAACGACGATTATAATTTACGTTTTGTTTTAATCGAGTATAGCTGACTCAAGAAATAAAAGCATTGGCTATGGACGCTTTGGAAAAGGGTAAAGAAGGTAGACAACCGGAAACGATCGTTCGTAAAAATTTGTTAAAGGTAACAAATTAATGAAATTAAAAGAAAAGAAAAAACCAAAAGAAAAAAATAATATTCTAAACACTTTGAATTTATTTTGATTAGACACATCAAACGAAACCACCGGAAGCTATGTTCACGGAGGATCTCGCAGCTCTCGAAATTTTAACGGAGGATGCAATATTGGACGAGTTGCAGGAAAGATTGCAACAAGGCCACTTTCATACATTTGTCGGGGACGTTCTTTTGATACTCAATCCTAACGAGAGACACGACATTTATGGACCGCAAGTAAGAAAAAGAAAAAATATATATATATATATATATCGAAACGCACTAATAATCTAATTGACATTGATTTTTATTTAGGATCATACCAAATATCAATGCAAATCCCGTTCGGATAATGCACCACACGTTTATTCGGTAGCAGATAGCGCTTATCAAGACGTACTTCATAACGAGGAACCCCAACACATTTTATTTTCTGGTGAAAGTAATTCGGGAAAAACGACCAACATGTTGTATGCCATAGAACACCTAATGTTCCTCGGAAAGGCGAGTATAATTTTTTACGAAATATCAACGATTATTATGAAAATTGATCATTTACATTAATCTAGAGCTTACAAGACACCGGATCGAGATTGTTGCGTGCTTTGAAAGTGATTCATGTATTCAGCAACGCTGCTACACCCCTCAATCCAAATTCAACGAGATGCGTGTTGCAAATCCAAACGACTTATGGTTCCTCTGGGAAAGCATCCGGAGCAATATTCTGGCTTTATCAATTGGAAAAATGGCGAGTTTCTACTCGTGACAGGTACGTGTTAATCATTTTCGAATGAAACGAATAAAATCAGCTTTAAACAAAATCTTCAATCGGTGTCCGATTGTTGTATGAACAATCCTTTTATGGGTCGCTAGTTACGAAAGCATTGAATAATTTGAAAATAGGATCTAAATTATGTAACCATCTTAATAATATTATTTTCAATTAGAAATAATAATAATTCCGACGGAAAGAGCCTATAAAGCTATATAGCCTGTTCAATATAGTGTCCCTGTTAACTATTAGCATTCCAACTTCCAACGTAGAAAGGGTTGATACTTCACAGGCTTCATAGTAAACGTCGAGAAACCCCGTTCGATTTGCAGAAGCCTAAACATTTATAAAACTTCAGTTATCGAATATTAAATTGACTTAATTATTCAATTTCAGGAATCAATCGAATTTTCATATATTTTATTATTTTTACGATGGCCTCGATGCGGCCGGAAAATTAAGAAACTATAATCTTCCAAGTGGTAGAAGAATGCGTTATCTACGAATAAGCGACAAGGGTAACGAAAGGAAACGATCTTTCAAAGTTAGAAACGATCCCGATGGAAACGTGACAAGATTTGGAGTTATGAAAGAAAATTTGAAGATCATGGAAATGGAGGAATACTGCGACACATTGTGGAAAATATTAGCTGCCATTTTGTTGCTCGGAGAAATACGATTTGTCGAGGGTAACAATGGCATTGCTGAAATGGACAGCAACGAAACAGCTAACAGAGGTAACGAAATGTATAATTCATTTATTTGAGATCGACAAATTTGAGAACTGTGACAATTCGTTTATTTTTACGTACAAATTTTCAGTCGCGGAGTTGCTCGATTTGGATCCCAAAAAATTTTCATGGGCTTTAATGAACTATTGCTTGATCAGAAAAGGTGCAGCCGTTCGTAAAAAACATACCTGCGAGGAAGCAAGAGAAGCAAGGGATGTATTAGCGAATACGATTTATCAACGATTAGTTGATTGGCTGATTAACACGATAAACCTCAAGTTCACGGTTACCCGTACTCTTTTGTAAGACACTCTCGAATTTTTTTAATCGATCTTTTTAATTTTCAATTAACTACGAATTCGTTTTGATTTCTCATTACGTTTCAGTGGTGACAAATATTCCATAAGTGTCCTCGATCTTTTCGGTTTCGAATGTTTCGCGGTAAATCGTATCGAACAATTGTTCGTTAACACGACCAACGAACAAATGCAGTGTCATTACAATCAACGAATATTTGCATGGGAAATGGTGAGAATGATTTTAATTTACGATATACAACATTTGGATAAACCGCATTTTTACATAAAATATCAATCCACTGTAATACAGTGTAAATGCAATAGGTATATCCAAAAATTTATATCGTCCAGATTTTTGGTTCTCATTTTTCAATTTATATAGCAAGAACAAGAAGAGGAGGATATAACGATTCAAAAATTACATTTTTACGACAACAAAGAAGCGATAGATCAACTGATGGGAAAGGACACCGGATTGTTTCACATTATAGACGATGCTTCTAGACAATTACAGGATGTTCAATATATATTTGAAAAAATCAGACAACGAATACAAGGGGCTCACATAAAACAGATAAGCTCACACGAATTTACCGTAGCTCATTATACCGGAAAACTCGTTTACGATGCCAGCGAGATCGCTGAAAAAAATCGCGACTTTGTTCCACCGGAAATGATTGAAACTTTGAGATTATCCTCGTTCGAAACGGTCAAACAAATGTTTACGAACAAATTAACGAAATCTGGTAATCTTACGATAGTGGTTGATACACCGCAAAAGGAAGAAAAGAAAACGAATAAAAGTAAATGGGAAACTATAATGCAAGAAACTACGAAGCTTAGGGTAAAAATATCTAATCGTAACTTTTAAATGTTAATAGAAAATACGCTTTGTGACACATAAGTGTAAATTAAATATTTAAAAAATTACTTTTTTTTTGTATCTAAAATACTATTTTATCTAGAAATACAATACTGCATCTAAGGGCCAATATTCCCAAACTCGTAAGATGAGAACCTGCGCGGCAACATTTCGATCATCAAGTTTAGAAATTTTGAAGAGCCTTTCGTTGGGTGGTGGAAGCGGTGGTATGCACTTTGTCAGATGCATTCGTTCCGATCTCGAGGGTACACCGCAAGGTTTCTATCGTGACGTAGTGAGACAACAAATCAGAGCACTAGCCGTATTAGACACTGCCAAGGCTAGACAACGAGGCTACCCTTACAGAATAACTTTTCAGGAATTCCTTCGAAGGTTCATCCTTCGTTTCTTCTTTTTTTTTCTTTTTTTGTTTATTATCTTTCTTCTATTCTTTTTTGTTTTCTTTTTGTCTTTTTAAATTGAACAAGATAACGATGTGACGTTCCTTAACGCAGATACAAATTTTTGGCATTCGACTTCGACGAGAACGTAGAAATGACCAAGGACAATTGTCGATTGCTATTAGTGAGATTAAAAATGGAAGGATGGATAATCGGTAAAACTAAAGTATTTTTAAAATATTACAACGAGGAATATTTGTCGCGATTGTACGAGACCCAAGTGAAGAAAATCGTCAAAGTTCAATGCATGATGAGATCATTTTTGGCGCGGAAAAATATCGCGACCAAGGTAGTTAATCTGAAGAAACAAATTGGTAGGTAAAAGATACGGCGAATAATATTATTAAGATAATTTTTTCTCGGCCGACTCTAACGGGTATTGTTTCAGTGAAGAAAGCGTCGATAAAGAAAAAGGAACCGTCGACAGAGTTGTCTCAAGAGGATGCAGCATTGATGATACAAAAAGGTAAGAAGAAGAGACAAGAAACGAAAGAAAAAAAAAGAGAGAGAGAGAGAGAGAAATTTGTCGAATGAAAAATATCTGACAATCCTGGAACAGCGTACAGGGGTCATGTTGCGAGGAAGGAAACTGCTCCGTTGCTGAAGGGGGAAATGGATCAGGAGACGAAGGACTTCATCAAATTCTACAGCAGCAAATGGAGATCGAAGACCATATTTCAAGTCCTCCTACATTACCGTGCAGCCCGCTTTCAAGACCTCGTGCATTTTTCGCAACAAGTGAGTCACAATCGATCATAATCAAATTTTTCATTCGCTTCAAACCCCCACGCCCGCTCGCCCCCCCCCGCTCCACCGTTCATAATAATTTTGAACACTTGATTTTATTTTGAAGGTTCATTTGTTCAATCAAGCGATAGCGGTGACGCTAGAAGCGACGAATGAACGCATACCGTTAGATAAAATCGACCCGGGCATCAAAGCATCCGCATACTTAGGCCAGACCAAACCACCCCAAGTTCACAAGTTACCCTTCGACATTTATCGCGAAATGCCATACTTCGATACGAGTTACATGAGCAATCCTACGGGGAAAAAGAACAAGAAAACTGGGTGAGTTTATAAGTATATTATTATTCTGCTTTTTCCCTCCATCCACACTCTAGAGTCTTCCCTTTGCAAGCAAAAATTGTCGTGTCGGATGATACAATGTGTACAATGATATTAAAATAAAAACTAAAATTCAATCAAATATGTTAGAGCTTCATATGACACGAATATTTTTGCTTGCAATTGGTAAACGACACGCTCCAATTTTCTTTCTCACGCTTGCCTTTTTACGCCCGTAGCCCTCCGTTATTAAATGTGTAATGTGTGCGTCCGTATCTGTGTCTCTGTGTCTTATCCTAGTCTCTTCTCTGATCTTTATTAACGCGTATAAAAAAAAAAAAAAAAAAAAGAAAAAAGAAAAGAAAAAAAAAAGAATCTTCTACGTTGCGTTGTATGACGTATGTCTCTATCGAAGATATGTGATCGTCTAAAGCACCCCCCGCCCGCCGGGTCTCTGAGCTTTGACGTCAACTGAGAAATACGTTCTGCAGATCGATGTCGTCATCGGCTTCTGACGACGAGCACGAGCCCTGGGACGCCCCATTAAGGAGACAAACGGTGGCATGCAGCAACATCGTCAACTCTCGTACCAGAGGTGCCTATCGTTTTTCGATACCATCTTCCGGGCCGCGCGGTAAAATGCTTGGGGGACGATCCACGATGCTATTCCAACTGCTATTCGCACTTCGTTCACGCACAATGAATACTACGTGAAGATTAAGTGAAGAATATAACAGTAAAAAAGCAGGCCAAGCACTTAACAAAATAATGTCAACAATTGAGTAAGCTTCTAATTCGCTAAAAACGTCGAAAACAGATTCTCGTTTGTCAATCATTCGTACAATCGTTATCGATTATCCGATATAATTAGAGAAAGAGAGAAAGAAAGAAAGAAAGATAGAGAGAGAGAGAGAGAGAAAGAACACGAACAGCTATTTCTACTATAATATTAATTTTCATTAATTCTATTTAACAATATATAAATTCGATCGATCTCGCGTTTTCTTCGTCTCGCTAGAAGGTTGGAAATATTTGTACAACGATCGCATAATATCTTCTTCCGGTTTACCATTAGATCACTTATTGTTAGAAAAATCTTCGTGCATCTAAAAAGATATAAATAATAATAATAATAATAACAATAATACTAATAATAATAATAATAATAATAATAAAGAAAGAAAGAAAGAAAGAAATAACAGAAGAAAGAACAAATAGCAGCAGTCATCTCGCTCGAAGAGAGAGAAATCATTCTCGATCATCAATCTCTATGCATTTTTCAGACGTCGAGGTTCAAACGACGAATTCACCACATCGCGTGGTGCAACAACGCCCATCGGGCAGCGGGGGACAGAGTCTGATCAACACTCCGTTTTCCAGAGACCCGAATATCCCGGTCCGATGTCCACCGGAAGATTCAACAACCCGGCCGAAAATCAGCAACACCGGATTACACCAAGCCGCGATCGATCGTAGTCCTATTGGATCTTCTAACGCTCATAATCCTCGCTCAGTAAGTTCGATCTTTCATTGATAACATTCATAATGATTATTTATTTCATCAAACTTTGGATTTTCATTTTGTAGAATAATTACGAGAATACGGGGTCGGTACGTTCTAAGAAACATGCACCCCCTCCTCCAATTCCATACGGCCGAGTATCACCAGCCCCGATACGTAACTACGATGTTCATCACAATTCGGAAACTCGAACCCGAAATAATTTAGATACCGGTAACGATTGGGAATTCGAAGACAAAGTTAATCGAAATACCAGTAATGTCCTACCCAGCAATCGGTTCGTTCGTAACTTTATTATTCGTATTTCGTTTAGATAATCGATGCTAATGTTTTGTATCTATACTTTTCAGTCCTAATCCTATACAAGAGTTACAAATGTTGGGTCGTAGAAACAACAACGACGACGGCAGCGGTGGCGGGGACGATCAACCACCATTTAACTTTCAGGTGAGTGAAAAGAAAAAGAAAAAAAGAAAAAAAAGGAAGAAGATAAAACGCGAGGGTTAATACACAAAGTTATTTGTCTATAAGATGATAATTGTTAATTTGTTACAGGCCATGCTGAGAAAAACTCCTCATCAACGTGCCTCGATGAAACGTAATGCCATTTATGACAGTTACGTTCCTTCCGCATCACCTTACGGACGTCCAATCAGCCACGAGGATCAATACGAGTCCAATGTCGTTTACAGAAGCAGCGGAAGCCGGAGAGATTCCTCCGAATGGAGTCCCAACGAAATGATCAGAATGTCGGAAAAGTATGGTAGAGAAGGTGCATGGTCTGCTGGTGGGGATCGCAGCAACAATACTGGCGACGTTTCTGAAAGTATCACCACAGAACTTGCTCCTGGAATTGTCGTCGAAGGCTACGTCTCTGAACTCTAAATTCGACAAAAATTTGAAAAAAAAAGAAAGAAAGACAGAAAGAAAGAGAGAGGTAAAATAAAAACAGAGCAAATAGTTAATCACTTAGAATCTATTCTTCTACTCAGATATTTATAATTAATCGAAACTTTTTGATAAACCGACAATCAGAATATTTTTTTTCAATGTCGTAGTTCTATCGTATATCTTTGAGAACGAGCTACTACTGTTCACATAGATTTCGTGCAGAGTATCTGTCCGACGTACAAGTAACTTATTTAATTATTTAATTTCTTCAAAAGAACGTATCCCTCTTTCTCTCTCTCTCTCTCTCTTTTCTTCAATACCTAAATATGTTCCAAATTGCAGCAAATTAATTGAAGTATAGGATACAAAGAGAACATATTTCTAACGAGTTTTCGAATTATTCATTAGTTTTCATTCATAAGAGAAATACTAATGATTGATATAACACGTCATTGTGTATCTAGCACGGTTCGTTTCCACATCACCAATCACCTGCCTCCCCCTCGTTCACGTAACTTAAAGAATCGTATTTGTCCTTATCTTCTACGACCTCCGAAATAATCTTACCGATACACGCAAACTTTGATTTGTTTAACGGAACTGATTGTACGAAGCCACGAAGAAAGCGCACTTCATAATGTCCTCCATTCGAGCGCAATTCCATGATCAATTTTATCGAATAATCATTTATATGAACTATGATTAATCTTATCGATTACATAAGTATTATCGCTTGCAACGAATTATAAGCAACAATAAGATTCGAATAATGTACGATTATTATATACGAACACAAAAAAGAAAATTAATTAAAAATAAATGAATGATATTGAAAAAAGAAAAAGTAATGTCATAAGCCCTTCTTAAAAATTATTTCGTTCCTATCCCACACATACAACGACAAACGAAATAATTTTTTATCCGAATATATAAATCGTGTATAAAAATAAAAACAACTTATATACTTGGACAATTAAGTTGACACGTGTGATGAACACGGGAATTATGAGAAGGAGCGAGGGTAAAGAGTAAATTGAAAATTTACTTGGACATCTTTTTTTAAAGAAAAAGAAAAAAAAAAAAAACTTCTCTACTCTTCCAACTTTTGGATCATATCGATAGAAATCGTTAGAATCCATGAAAGAAAAGTATTAATCTTTGTCGACCTGCGAATGATCATTTTGTTGGGAACTTTGCTTGATAATGTTCACCAGGGTATCCAATCTTGTTGGTCGTACTATCTGCAAGACCATGTGAGCTTCTTCCAAGATCAATAGACCATTATGGGCGTCGTTCGCGGACAGGTTGTGCGCGTATATGACGTGCTGTTTCCAAGCGGTATGCGTTGGTAAAACCTAATGGAAATATAGGAAGAATCATATGAGTATTATGATAATCGAATTTGATCTCGATAACGTTGCTAAATTTGTTTCAATTATTTCTTTTTTTTTATTTTTTTTTTTTTCTTAGCGCAAGGAACGATAACGAACGAACCTGTGGACACCACTTGCAATTAAGGGATGGTGAAATAGTATGAACAGCTTTGATATGTCTTCTTCGAAATCCCCAACTGGTGTAGGCACGATCGCAAAAGGGACAGGGAAATGGTAGATAAACGGAACCTCCTTTGACTGTTTCCTCAGAAAAATCCGAACCACTCGGACGGGATCCTCCGGCAACTTGTTCCAACGATAAGGAATCTGTTGTAGTTTCTGTTGTCAATAGTTTCTTAGAAGAAGACAACTCCAACTTGAGGATTCCTGACTCTCCTCCTCCTCCTCCTTCTCTTCGATTTTGTACATCCGAGATACAGGATTCATCCTTTCCATCCTTCGAAGTTTTCCAATTTGGATTCTTCTCCTCGGGAATTAGTTCAGATACTCGAAAACTCGATTTTTCCTGTGCTTCCGCAATTATCGTCACTGCCCGCTTCGAAGACCCTATAATTAATCGCCGTAGACGATTGAAATCATAAATCTTAGATTTATTCCCACCCTGTAACTCACTCCTCCTCCTCCTCCTCCTCCTCCTCCTCGTCCTTGATAGCGTTCGTCCAAATCTAACTAGGCGTTTCATCCTTTCGGAATCAATGAATAATACATATTTGTATTAGGATACGATTATAAAGGAACGGAAATATCTTTTGGAGAAGAAGTAAACCGCTAAAAATGTAAAATAGGTTTATTTGCGACCAATCGTGTGTCTTGTCTACAATAATATCGCTTTAAATAACGATCGGTACGTTCAATGATTCGTCCGTACTATAGCATCCACAATTTCATATAATCTATATATTATATAAAATAAAACGAATAATCTGCTGAGAAAATCCAAGGAAAAGAAAAGGAATAGGAGGAAAATATGATCAATGTCATCGTGTAAATTGAAACGAAATAAAAAAGTAAGGAAGGAAGGAAGTAAGGAAGGAAGGAAGGAAGGAAAGAACGAACCAACGAACGGACCACTCGTGAATAGATGTATTTATAATACCCTAATAGTTAGAGCGCTGTAAAAGCGCACGCGCTTTTTCCGCTTCTTTATTTTCTTTTTTTTTTTTAATCTTTTTCTTTTTTTTTTTTTTCTCTTTTTTTTAAATATACTACAAGCATATATCTTAAATTACTAGGTTTTCTCATCTTAAGAGCTAAGATTTTTATTTTGACTTTTTATTATTTTTTTTTTTTTATTTTACTTATACTTTTGTGTGTGTGTTTCCTTGTATTTAAGTATAATACACGGTTAAAATAGCCGCCGATAACACGTCGCACGTGGGCGACACGATTCACGCACGCGTTTTCTCATCTTAATAACATATAACGCAGCAACACTACCCACACAACACGCTTGCTTATTTGCTTATTCGCTTGCACGCTCGCGCGCGTCTCGTGTCGTATAGTAATAGTAGTAATAGTAATAATATTAATAGTAGTAATAGTAATAGTAATAGTAATAGTAGTAGTTTCTCTCTCCTTCTTTCTCTTTTTGTCTATATCTCAACTACAATTTAGCCGTGTGTACGTGCGTGCGTGCGTGCGTGCGTGCATGCGTAGCTCTGCGTGCATGCGTGCGTGCGTGCGTGCGGACCTTGCATCGATGTGTTGTTTGTTTCGCAGCCCGGCATAATAATACTCTCTCCCGTATTCGTGTACTCTCGTTTCGCGATGCATCATCTTCTTCGCGTGTCCATCGAACTAAACCGAGGAGCTTTTATATCGTGCGCTGTCTACAGCGTTAGTGCTTACTTACGATTGCGTGGAACACCGTATAAATAAATAGATCAAAGAAGAAGGAATGTCGTGTGTAACGTGGCCGCACGATAGGAAACTATAAACGACTCTTCGTATGCGGGTACGCGGATCTTATAGAGAAAATATTAGTAAAAATAAAAAAAAAAAAAAATAAAAAAAAAAAAAAAAA